AAATAACAATCAAAATAAATAAAAGGGCAAGATAAGCAGAGGAACAGACATCGTCATGTAAAAAATAGTAGTAATAGATTACAAGTCTGTGAAAAATTAATTATTTGCTACTATTTCATGCTGCATATTCCTTGACTTCCCTTATTTATGCTTCAAACCACATCTATTCTTAATTTATTTTATTCTCCCTACACCCTCTGAATAGGTTTTGTTTTTGAACAAGTCACTTGTCTAGAAATACTAAGTCTAAAATGTTCTGTCTGCACAATGGATGCTTTAGCAAGTCAGATATGCACAGTTAAGCTGCTCTTGCAGAATTTTTCTTGTTAAAGTGCAGTCGATTGACCATGTACCAGTACTAATTTGTTTCTAACCAGTAAGGCAGGTAAACATGATGCCCCGTACAATAGTGATTGTAACCATCATGGCCAGCCAGGATGCCCCTACTAGTCTCAGCAAAGGAACATTTAAATGCAGAAGCATTGAGGTGCCTGAGTGGCTCAGTTGGTTAAGCATCCAACTTCGTCTCAGGTCATGATCTCACAGTCCGTGGGTTCAAGCACTGCATCAGGGCTCTGTGCTGACAGCTTGAAGCCTGCTTCAGATTCCGTGTCTGTCTGTCTGTCTGTCTGTCTGTCTCTCTCTCTCTCTCAAATATAAAATAAAACATTAAAAAAATTTAAATGCAGAAGCATGCCTCACTTTAGAACCACACAACCACACAACCAGACTCTGCTTTCCTCTAAAGATAGATTTTGCATTTGCCCTGGATTAAGTTTGATACTTCCATTCAGAAAACAAGGCTTGTCTCCTAAGGAAATTCTGGACAAATGATTTAGAATTACACTGTGACAAAAATCTTTTAAAGGCATTTAGTTAATACCTTAATGAAATTATAATATACATCTGTCTATGATATGAAAATAATCTTTACAGTAGTTTCCAAGTAGTATTTTTATTTATAATTTTGTCAGATTTTGGACACAGGTGCTTTAAAGTGCCTTCTTAAAATAATAATGCTACAGGGCAGGTGGTAGATTTCTAGGACATTATTATATTTTTTTCAGGCATTCAGCTGGCAGCCTGGTTTTTCATAATAATTTTAGTCCTGAGAAACTATAATTATCCTGAAGCACACTACTTACACTGTCTTATTTCTTAATTATAGTAGTGACATGAGATAAATGCATACTTATTGGGATCAAATGTATATTATTTTGTGGTGATTATAAAGAAGTTCTACATGACAACAATTGCAATTATATGGTCATAATGACTGATACTATGTTATATTCTAGAAATTCTGTAATTAAGTCCTGACAAGAGGACACTTCCTATGGGGGGGGGGGAGGCTTTAGAGAGAGAGGCTGGCCAATGTAAAAACCACTGACAGACATAGATACCCCAAGTCTATTCTAATGATTCCACATGAATCTCAAGTAAGAACATTGTATCGACTAACATTTGGGAGGCTTAATTTAAAGTTGTATCTAAACAAGCTATGTAAAGAATCTTCTGTACATAAAAATAGCCTTTCTCTTTTCTGACCTTTAGAGTAAAAAGCTTTGATCACACTCCACAGGGAAAAAAATGGACTGGAAATATGATAGGAGTGATACTGCCTTCAAAGATAAATCTGCAGGCAGTCAGTAATATTCTTTCAAATACTATAATTCATCGTTTTAAAAGTTTTCATGTAAGGTTCCAAAAATAATTTATCTCTGGCTTTCCAATTTAAAAGTAAAAAAGAAAAAAAAAACTTTAAGTTATCAAGATACTGCTTACCTATATTTTCCACTTTTTTGTATAGGCAGATGTCTTTGTCTTTTGTTTTTAAAAAAGCAGAAGGAAATAAAAATGATGGATGTGAAACTCTATGTATTAAAATGTTTGGGTGAAGGTGTCAGGTATATCATGTATCAGATTTGGGAAGTAAATGACCTGGGTTTTAAATTCTGTTCTGCCATTGACTAGATGTGGGGCTCAGACAAGTTACTTAATTATACGTCAGTCTCTTCATCTGTATAAAGGGACAATAATTGTACCTACCTTATAAGAATTATCCATTAAAGGATTTAATCTTTTCAAATATATAAAGGGTTAATTACATGCCTTGCACATGGTAAGCACCATATACTTTTTAGGTATTATTTTATGTAATTTAGGGATATGAAGGATAATGAACCAGGCTCTCCCACTTTCCTCCCCATCTTCAACCATGGTGAGAGTATCTCTAAAAATTTTAATAAGCTTTACTCACAGAACTATTTTCAATATTCTAATATAATATATAGAAAGGGAATGTTTTTTTCTAACGTAAAAGGGCCATTCAATGAACCTGATATCTTTTAACTTGTAACTCACTCTGGCAATACTTTGCCAGAGCATTGTTTGTTTGTTTGAAATTCTGGAACAAGTTAACGTCCTGTTATTTTTAACACAAAAGGTATCCTCTTTAGACATTTATAGTTATCCAATGATATGTTAAGTCTTAAGCATCGATGGTTTTGCTGTATATAAACATTCTTGCATGGCTAACATTCTAACCAGGTTGCAAAGATAATGATATTAGCATAGTTACTGCAAACCCACTTTTATTTTCAAAATAGTTCAAACAACCCAAATAAGCACACCAAGAAACATTAACCCTTAAAAAAAGAATCAGTTAGCATCCATACAAAAACTAGCCATGCAACACTTGACTTTTTTTCTATATACTGCTGATGGATATTATTTTTCTGATTTACTTAACATGTTATATTTGCTTTGTTATTATTTTTAACTTTAAATTACTGTTATTTTTCTAATTAAGTTAATAAAGTACTTAATTATTATATGCTAATTTCTCTGAAATAGTAAAGATCTAAATAATAAGTAATAAAAATGAATTTTTAAAATACTTATATGCAAATATGAGATTGAGGAGCAAGTACAAATATTGTTTATGGTAGAGAATTATTAATTCCCTTTTCATGACTTACATTAGTAATCTTTACTATTTAGTTCAAGAATATACAAATTCTCCTTCATTTGCTTATTTCTAATTTATTTTAATATTTATATGTTTTTAAGAGAGAGAGACAGAGTGCCGGGGGAAAGGCAGAGAAAGGGAGACACAGAACCCAAAGCAAGCTCCAGGCTCTGAGCTGTCAGCACAGAGCCTGGTGGGGCTTGATCTCATCAACTGCGAGATCATGACCTGAATGGAAGTCGGATGCTCAACCAACTGAGCCACCAGGCGTCCCCTTCATTTAATATTTTTAAATTTCAACTGCAATCCCTGAATGATTGTATATGATATCTATAATCCTATTCAAAAATTTTTGCTATTTCCAAGAGCAATAAATATGGATTTTATTTTGTCTTCATCTTTAATCTACAAAAATACAATACCAAAATGCTATGGTGTTTTTAGAGTTAATATAGAAATAAGAAATATTGCAAAAGGATGAATAAGTATGGAAGAGTTTTTTGGCTAAAAGCAATCAGTTTCCATGCAAATATTAACTGTTTCCTTTTTAAATTAATTAATTAATTTAATTAATTAATTGAGAGATAGAAAAAAAGAGAGAGAACACAAGTGGGGTAGAGGTGCTAAGGGGGACAGAAAGAGAATCTTAAACAGGCTTCATGCTCAGCATGGAGCCCGATGTAGGCCTCGATCCCATGACCTGGAGATTATGAGCTGAGCCAAAATCAAGAGTGGGATGTTGAACCAACAGAGCCTCAACAACTACTTTATTGCAGTAAGAAGTCTTCATTAGACTTTTGAGTCTAATTCCATTTCTATCTATATACATATCTATACCAGTTAAGATCAGGAACAGGGGCGCCTGGGTGGCTCACTCGGTTAAGCGTCCGGCTTTCGCTCAGGTCATGATCTCACAGTTCGTGGGGTCGAGCCCCACGTCGGGCTCTGTGCTGACAGCTAGTTCAGAGCCTGGAGCCTGTTTCAGATTCTGTATCTCCCTCTCTCTCTGACCCTCCCTTGCTCATGCTGTCTCTCTCTCTCACACACACAAATAAATAAAAATATTAAAAAAAATTTTTTAAACCAGGAACAATTAATTTTCAAACTAGTCTATTCTGGTTCTTCACTGCTTAGAAGTGATTATTATTGGCTTTAATGATGTTGATTCTACAATAGGGAAAAACTGATATGGAAATTAAAAATATACTTTTAATAAACAGTGTGGGAGGAAACCCCAATTTCAATTTCTATTTTAAGACTGAGATTAAGAGTGATTTTAAAATAGAAATCAAATGTGTGGCTTTCCACTTGTATTAGTCTGTGCAAGGTGCCCCAACAAGATACCTCTGACTGGATGTCTTGAACAACAGACATTTATTTTCTCACAGTTTGGGAGTCTGGAAGTCTATGCTTGAGGTGGCAGCAAATTTAGTTTCTGGTGAGACTCCTCTTCCTGGTTTATAGATACAGCCTTCTGGATGTATACAAAGGGAGTGAGGGAGAGGGGGAGAGGGAAGGAGGTGGAGAAAGAGGAAAGGAGAGAGAGAGGGAGGAACAGACGGAGAGAGAGAGGTGGAGAGAGGGGAAGAAAATGGGAGAAAGAGGGAGATGGAGGAGAAGGAAGCAAGTAGAGAGAAAGAGAGAGGGAAGAAAAGAGAGAGAGGGAGAGAAGGAAGTGGAGTGAGAGGGGAAAGATGGAGAGAGGGAGGAAGGAGAGAGGGCGAGAGAAAGTACAGACATTTCTTCCTCTTATAAGGGCACAAGACCTATTGGAATAGAGCCCTGCCCTTATGACCTTGTTTAACTGTGATTATCTTCCTAAAGGCCCAATCTTTGAATCATCCCATTGGACATTATGGTTTCAACATATGAATTTAATAAGAACACAATTCAGTTCATAACACTGCCTAAAATGATCATTGTATTTCTCATGAAATTCCAACGTTAGGTGAAGTAATGCCTGAAGATTCTTTGCCACTTTTGACCATAAGTATGTTATATTTTATGATCATTTGTATTTGTCTTTCAGATCAGCATTTTCATGACCCATTTGTCAAACTATGGGAATGACCGCCTGGGGTTATACACCTTTGTGAACTTGGCCAACTTCGTGCACAGCTGGACCAACCTGCAATTGCAAACTCTGCCTCCAGTGCAACTTGCGCACAAGTACTTTGAGCTCTTCCCTGAGCAAAAAGACCCTCTCTGGCAGGTAAGGCAAAACATTCTCTCCTGCTGTGGTAGGAAAGAAACCAGGGCCTAATTTGTATTAGGAACTCTGTTGGAGATATGAAAACTGACATTTAACACAAACTTCTTTTTTATGCAGTAGCTTCATTCCCTTCAATAACTTTTTTGTTTTATGTAGTAAGTGTATTTTTTGTTTCTCTCGTATTTTGCTTGTTTGTTTGTTTGGTTTGGAAGTTTTGCTTTGAGGATGATGTTTTATCATTGGTGTCTCCTCACAGCTAATCATTTTGACTCTCATTTAGTATGAGCACTAACTGGCAGCAAAATAGGTAGGCACTGGGTATCTAGGGAGATAGAAGCCAAGAGCCATCATAATCTAAGACCCTATAACTAACCCCTGATATGTATGTGTAAACACAAATAGTATAAATGAAAAGGAAAAAACACTTTTTTATCTCATGCTTCTACAAATGCTATCTTTAATAGGTCTTCACGTTTCTTTTTTTAAAAACAGTTTTTTTAATGTTTATTTATTTTTGAGAGAGAGAGCACAAGTGGAAGAGGAGCACAGAGAGAGCGAGACACAGAACTGAATCAGGGTCCAGGCTCTGAGCTCTCAGCACAGAGCCTAACGCAGGGCTCAAATGCACGAACCACGAGATCATAACCTGAGACGAAGTCGGACGCTTAACTGACTGAGCCACCCAGGCGCCCATCTTCATATTTCTTTTAAATCTAATTAATCTTTCACTAGAACCAGATCTATTGGTAAAAGAAAGATTGTCAGTTTTAGGATCGCTTTTACAAATAATTCTGTTTCACATGGGAGCCACTCAGCGTCATTGTATGAAAATGTGAACTATCTGCTTCTTAGGAGTTATCTGGGAAAATGCTACCTCCCATTTTGCTGGTTCTTTATGCATTACATTACATTGACCCGCACAATCAATAAGCTGGCTGCAGAGAACAGATCACATAGTCCCCCGCTAAGCAGTTGGTAGAGGAAAAGCATCATCGCTAATGAGAAATCACTGTGAACCAGCCTTGTTACCATCTCCCCCCCCACAAGACTCTATATTTCTTCTTATTCCATAATTCATGTCACATGCCACTCTGTGTCTATACCATCAGGAAGTTGTCCAACACATGTTTGTTGGGCATCTACTGTGCATAAGGCAAGGCTAGTTGCTCTAGCGAGTACAAAGAATGAAACACAGCATTTTCTCCCAAAGTCAGCAGGGTTTCCTTGCTATTCTTATTCACTGCGTATATTTCAAAACGTGCTTTACAACTGACTGCTAGAGTAATTCATACTTTAGTCTGATGCTTTAGTCAGGAACTCTTCACCATTTGTGTTTTTGTTGAACTACACAGTCTAATTCTTTTGCCTATCATTATAATAAGTTGCTTGATCATTTCTATGTTTGGTGTATGAATTACATAGATAAATGGATGAAGACATAATTTTTGTAGTTTATTATAGTGTATCACATCATACAAAGTAGCTGCTGAATTCCATAAAGGCCAAGCTTTGTGTCCCATAAATGGCATTATTCAAAAGTGCTCACACACATATAAAATTGATAAATCATTGATAGTAAATTAATTCTTTTCTCACACATGCTTATTTATGAGGTATCTATAATTCATGGTACAGTAACAATACAAAGTAGCCAACTTAACAACGGTTGCAAACAGCTAACATACAAGAAATGAGTCAGTACCCCCAAGCGCCAATTTTTCTTTTCCTTTACAGGAAGGAAAGTGTTCTTTAGATGATGAATTTGTATATCTTAATATTGTGTGTTTTTTTAAATTAAGAATTGTATTTATTGATATCATTTCAATATCAGAAATGCTTTTCATTTTGGCAAGGAGTAAATAAAGATACACAAGGATACACAAGCTCCAATACAGTTTGGTCCACTTGATGATTCTAAATATTTATCGAATATCTGTTAAATATGAAATACTACATTAGTCAATTGATGGTATAAATGAAAATTAGACACAGAAATAGAACTGTTTCTTAGAGAACTAAGTCATGGTGGACTTGAGAACCTAAGTATACACAAAATATCTGAAAGGGATAACAATTTTGAATAGCATCACAGAGGTAAATTCCTAGACAATTCTTAACAAATGATAGAATTAATCAGAAAAGGCTTCAGAGAATTCACAAATTTTTGGTATTGCTGTTGTAATTTACATGTTTAGCAATTTTAACATGTTTTCAAAATAGCTTATAATAAAAATACTTATTTTTTTTAATTTTTTAAAGTTTACTTATTTATTTTGAGAGAGACAGAGAGGAGAGAGAGAGAGTCCCAAGCAGGCTCCATACTGTCAGCACGGAGCCCTGACGCAGGGCTCAATCCCACGAACCATGAGATTGCAACCTGAGCCAACATAAAGAGTCATCAAGAGTTGCACACTCATCTCTGCCAACTGAGCCACCCAGGGGACCCTCATAAATGTATTTAAATAACATTGAAGAGTGAATATTTACTAAAAGACTCCCATTGTATCAAGCAAATTATATTATTTATATGGTTTCTTTTGACTGAAACATAAAGTTGCAAGCATTTCTCACTAACTAAAGTGCCATATTATCTCAAATATATTTAAGAAGGAAAACAAGGAGTAGAAAGCAGGAAAGCAGTTAAGTTCAAGAAGGAATTGTTAAGGTACATGAGATTTTTGAGGACAGCTGACATATTGAAGAAATCTGATCAACTTTGCCAGGCATACATCATGTCTACAAGACTACAAATGGTTAAGTAGAGGTAAAGTGCATAATACTTTGTGAGTCCCTTTCCCTGGTGGTTAACTCTTCTTTCCATATTCATATTTATAATGGCAAAGAGAACAGCTGTGAGCAATATCATCATGTACTTTATACAATATGAATTTAGTTTTACAAAAAACATATAAGTATAACCAGCACTAATTAAATGTTTTGTAGCCCACTCATCACAACCCTACAGAGTTGGGATAGATGAGTATTATGAGTCTGTCATTATTATACATTCTCAAAGTCATTGTTACACATTCTCAAAGTCATTGTTACACATTCTCAAAAGTCAGGTACTCTTTTGTGATTCTAAGCATGTCGTATTCAGTGGATTTCATTTTTAAAAGTAAATCAACTTATTTTTCTCAAGATTTTTAGTTCGCACATTTTTGTTTCTACAAATAAAAATAAAACATGAAATAATGATAATCTTCACATCTATTTAATTTCCTTCAGTTCTTTATGTAAATTTTCATTAGCACCAACTACCATATATGTACAACTGCTTTGTCACCTAATTAAAAAGTGCAATATGAGTATCTTTCAATGGACAGCATGGTAAGCACAACACAAAATGTGTGTGTGCTTCCTTCACTGGAAGCTGATTCTTTCAAAGCTGTTAAATGTGAGAATATATGCTGAAGACCCATATGGAACTCTGTCCCTAGAGTTTATTCTCACTCTCATCCCTAGTGTATAAGATTCTTAAAAGGATTCTCACTGGTTCCTATTTATTCATATCCCTTTTTGTTTTGGTAGAATAATCACTCTGAAGCAGAAGAATAGGATTTCCTTTTTTTTTTTTTCCTTTTAACTCTCATTATAGAAACCAAAACCACAACATGGAGGCATTTAGAAGGTCAGATTCTTGCACATTCGCTAATCGATGCTTTTAAGCTCTCAAGCTGTCAGGTTAGCTCAGCCTCAATCTTCACGCAGTCACTCCAGACTCTCACTATCAACAAACATGCCAAGCGTGATGTGGATTCCTGCTTGCCCGTGTGACCAAGGGAATGCTCAAAGAGCCTTCTCCCTCTCCATGCCAGTATCTCCAGGATTAAAGACGCAGGAAAGTAAACCACAAGGTGCTAACCTTAAGAGTTAGCACCTTTGTTGATTCTAGCTGTGAAATCCTCCAACTCCAGTTTAGAAATGATGAGATTTGAACAACTGTGACATAAACAAATCACAAGGTCTAGCAACATACACACTGTAGATTCTATTATTATGTGTCTGTTGAAAGAATAAATGAATTCTGACACAAAGAATTATAGATTGTAAATGCAGAATAAGAAGTTAGGGGTGTCCAACCCAACCTATTGATTTTAGAGAAGAAATGGGTGACACCTAGCAAGATGAAATATCTTGTTCTGAGTCACTCAGATTATTAGGGACAAGTCAGGAGTAAAGCTCAGATTTTCTTATTCCTACTGCCGTGTAGTTCCAACCACATCAAAATGGTAGTTTTACATTTAGAAAAATTAATTTACTTCTGTCATCAACTCCCTCTGAGGGATGAAATTTCAGGTATACCTTGTTACTTTAGAAGAATCTGGTGGTGTACTCAGTGTGTATTTGTTTGACCTATACTTTCTTAAAATTTTTTTTAATGTTTATTCATTTTTGAGAGACAAAAAGAGCATGAGCCAGGGGTAGGGGGGGTAGAGAGAGAGAGGGAGACAAAGAATCTGAAGCAGGCTCTAGGCTCTGAGCTGTCAGCACAGAGCCTGACATGGGTCTTTAACTCAAGAACTCTGAGATCATGACCTGAGCCAAAGTCGACGCTTAACCGACTGAGCCACCCAGGCACCCCTTGACCTATACTTTTGATGTACCTACATAATAGAAAGGTCTTGTCCTTCGTAGAACTTACAAACCATAATTGCTCTTGGTAATGTGAGCAAAATGACCGTAAAATTTCTTTTCATATTCATTCCTCTGTTTTCGACTCTATACCTTTAATGACCCTATAACTGCACTTACCATATGGTATTGCAGACACTTACGCCTGTCATATGCCTGCTCATACAAACCTGAAAAGGTTGAGACTATATTTATTCATGATTGTAACCTAGAATCCAGTGTAGTACCATAACCACTGTCATGAAAATCTCATGAATGAATAAGCAAAGGCAGAAGTGTGTGCATGTACACAAAGAACAATAACATAAACACTCATTTCTTAGAGAACAGTAGGAATCCAATAGGAAATAACCTTGGGACACACA